TAGGTATGTCCAAATGTTTGTCTCTTAACTGTTAAGGTAACTCGATACGTCGTAAATCGGAATAGATTGATCGTGCAACCAAAATTCTTCAGATCGACCATAATTTGGTCGGAATGGATGGAATTGATAAATTTTGCCAGTAATCCATGAGCTAAGTAAAATTACCCAGATGCTAATTTTGCTAGTTACCATATTAGCATTCCGACTCTAAAATTTAGCCGATCTGATGAATTTTGGTTACGCGACTAATCTATCCGTAAAATCTCATAATCATACAATATTAGGATTTTTGTTAAAAATATAGCACGGGATTATGATTCTTCCGAAGGGTGAATTAAGATCCCATATGTAACTATAATATAAGTGACGCTAAGGGAAAGTTAGACATTGGTTTATCATTGATTATTTATTTAATAAATGATAAACCAATGTCTCATTTTAGGTGACTATATCTGATATTCGGTTATTGAAAAAATGAATAAATTTTGTATAAAGTTTTCGGGCTGCATCGAACATGTTCGGAAGCATCGGTGATCACCTGATCGCGAATTTTTTCTGCCACCATTTTGTCATCTTCCTATTTTGCCTTGGCGTCACTCAAATGTAGTATGAGATAAAATAGGATACATAATTAATTGGAAATAAAAGAAAAAAAAAGATAGTCTAAATATACGAGCCCAAAATGTATAGAAATCATTTGAGCACTGTCAAAAAAAATGAAACTTCGAACATTCAAGTTTATCATTTATAATTTATCTCGTGAAAAACCTGATCAGTGATATATATTACATGTCATAGATGTTACGATCAGGTTTTTAAAGACCAAATCCAGTAAATAATAAATTACATAAAATTGAAAGCCCGAAGTATCATTCTATTCTCTCACTTATGATAGTTCAACAATCGGGAATAAAATTTTATTATTTATTTGTTTTTTTTTTATTTAATAATATAAATGCTATAAACACACTTATTATACCATACTTAAATTAAAGATACTAATTTAGAAAATGTAACTTGCATTATTTTAAATATGCATATAAACCTATTGAAATACTAAGCAAAAATTTTGTGTATGTATCTAAAAACTAAGCTTTTACAAAATTTTGTTATCGACTTTTAAGCACCATTTAAATCAACAGGCAAGTAACTCGACTTGCAAGATAATTCTTTGCTAAGACAAAAAGCTTGTTTCTCGTGTAATATTTTACAATGGGATTTTTGAAATGTGCTAAGCTATGTTTATTTCTAACCCTGAAATTTCAGTATAATAATATGGATACTGTACATGATAAAGGGTGTAAATACCTATTTTAAAAACTATATATACCATACTATAAATTTATTTTATATAGCCAACTTATACTGAATATTCTTATGGCGATCGTGTACCTGATGATGTATCTAATACTTTAGCTGCTGCACTTGATGTATACGCGTTTTTAAAAGTGTTTTTTAAAGAATTCTCGATATATGCTAATTTGGATTTTCATATTGCTGGTGAATTATAAGCATTGCTAATCTTTTTAAAATTGTTTAGCATTGTTGATATTGTCTAGTAAATTACAAAATAACTAAAAAATTGTTTGTATATATTATTAACAGGTATGAGGCCATTTTATACCCGCTATAGCATCAGATATAAATAATTATAACAATGATTATTGTACGGGTCTTATGTGACAACCCGTGCTTTTTTCATTTGGTTATTGCACGGGATTGTTACGTCAGACACC